TAATACAATATTGAATCGAGATACCATAGAGATAATCCAATTTTTATACGAATATGTAAATTTTTGCCTCCGGCATCGTTTACATTGTAAATAAGTCAAGCCTTTAATTGATGTATGCCAAAAAAAAAGAAAAAAAAGAATTGTGAGGAAAAATTAAGAGGTATACTTTTATTCCGAACTAGCGACTCACCCTCGATCCGCACGGGTTCGTCCCTAGGTGATCCTTTAAATTCATGTAACTTTTTTATTTATAACCGACTGAAATAAAGCAAATATTAAATGTTAAGTGAAGCTTACAAGAATACATTAGTGAAAACAGCACACAAATTGGTTAAGCCATTTCTTAAATTAGCGCGCACAAACGCGCAGACAAACAGACGAACACAAAAATTTTAAAAGTCATTGTTTGGGGTTCTATTGCGTTAATAAATACTCCTTTTTTTTTTAACGTTGGGAAATGCATTTACGCACGAGGTGTGGGACTCACCGGCAAAGCCAGTACTACCCACTAAAACCCAACAAAGCCTTCCCCCGTCTTAATGGGACGTCGCAGGATCGCTTACGCATTCAACTACGACGCCCCGACGGCAGGTCTGCCGAAGCAGACCACAACAACCACGGGGTTGCTCCAAGGTCCGCTCTGCTATCAGAGAAGTACCAGGAGTAACCCGCATGGTACACCGCCCTCCGAAGAGGGCCGCCTCCCACCGCCCACCGAAGTGGGCCACCTCCCTGTGCGTTTCTTGGCTTCGCGCCCGGTTGGGTTGCCGGGCACTACTGAGCCCCCCCACCACGACAAGGTGAACGCACGTTGGGGGGGAGTTAATAAATACTCCTATCACAACGTAATGTATATAACGTTTTTCTTAAATATCTTCCGTGTAAAGACAGCGATCAGTTACAATTTTATTATATTATGTAAGTTTAAAAAAACCTATTGCTCTGAAGACCTGATATGGCCTGAAAACTATTTATTTAATACATTTTGATTTTAGCCAAAAGCAATAAATAGGAAAAAATATAAATAGAAAAAGCTATAAATATATAATCGAAGATAATTTAACACGTGGGCGAGCCTCTGAGAACTGTTTTAGTCGTGGAGATAATAGGTTAGAAAGCCCTTAGGAAGCTTATACGTAATGGATTTAGTATATACTATATACTTACAACTTAAAAGCTCTTTTATGATGCGAACTTTGAAGAGAGAAAATATCAGTTTTAGGATCTAATTTTGTTCCCAAAAAATGAGACTTATTTTATTCAAACTAGATTAGAATACTTTATTATAAAAGTTACATATTTTATCACCCATAATTCCCAGGACCAAGTAAAAGGGTTGATAATTATACAAAAATAGCTTTTACCTTCCCTAAGGCTTTAATTTAAAAATCTAAGATAAAAGAGTTTTTATAATAATCAAACTAGCAACTCACCCTCACTCCGCTCGGGTTCGCCCTTTGGTACGTTTTAACGTTTATTGCCTATAGATTTCTGAGAGATGAGATATTTTCCTGCAGTAAAAAGTATCCTATATGTTAACCCGGATAACCAGCTATCATCATACCAAATTTTATCAAAATCTATATAGTTGTTTTCTCGTGATGCGGTAACAGACAGACAAACAGACAGACAGACCAAAATTCTGAAAACTACAGATGCAGCCTCTGTATCGAAAATAATGACTATTTCAATAAGATTTTATAAAAAAAGTTAATGTTCACATTCGGCTCAGTTAGAAATTTATTATATGTATTGATAACTTCTACTGTTAAAATAAAAAAAAGCTAATGATGAATACTTTATATAAATAGAAATTTTATAATTTTCTTACGAAAAATTTATAACAACATTGGTATCTCACTTTAAATTGATAAAACCGTTCATCAACCAAAACAAAATAGAAGACAAGGCTTCTTTCTTTTCCAACAGAGCGGGAAAACAGATTGTCTTGAGATTGTCTTTTTACCACCAGAGCATAAATTGGAATGGCACATAAAGGCTAAACTGTGCTCTCGCCTCATTTGCCCGACCTCCGGGAATAAACAACTTTATTTGGATCGATTCAGCTAAGCTCCTTTAAAATTTTATTTCCAAAGAGATATTATTTGCTGGCTAACCGAACGCAATTTAAAATATGGATGAAATCTGTTAAGCTCTTGAATTATTTTTAATAACGCTTACAATATGAAATGGTTTTAAACGCGGTATTTCCAATATTTCTATAAATAGATTTATTTCAATCATTCATATTGAAATTTGTTAATTGACGTTAACGTTGCCTATATTTGTAAAATGGATTTATATGGATAGTTTTAATTAAAAAAACATTTAGTAGTTACTCGACTGCACCAGATTAATAGTAATGTTTTTCGAGTATACGCTTTACAGAATACACGATTCGATGGATGTTACTTTATAGGTAGAGAGATATACTCGTATGTTAATATTCATCTTATTTGTAAAATATAACGCAAAATATATTTTAACTAAAAAAATAATTAATATTTAATAAAAGTTTTTGAGCCAATTTTAAAAATGTATCTTATATCATGTAGGTATCATAACACTTATAGTTCCATTCATTGCTTTACAAAATTTCCTTGCTATCTTAACGGAGTCGTTTGTTTTATTTTTATATTATAGGTTGCTTCTCAGATACCTGCGGTTGTCAAACTTGCGCTTTGGTATGCGAATTAGCGACCATATTTTGCGTGGAATAATGCGAAACAAAACCGCGTAAAAACTCGAAAACACGCGTTTTCCTAGACATAAAAGTAATCTAGATCGATTTATCGCCCCTGAAACCCCCTGTACAGGTACTAAATTTCATGAAAATCGTTAGAGCCGTTTCCGAGATCCAGATTTTATATATATATATATATATATATATATATATATATACAAGAATTGCTCGTTTAAATATATTAGATTTTTAATTATCATATATGTAATAAATAAATAGAGCATTCCTCGATTATTTCTTTCAACCGTCAGTAATCAAGAGCCTGTTAAAACTTATTTCCCTCTTCGTGCCATTTGATCGTTCACATCCGTAGACTCAGATGCCTAGCTTATAGGATAATACTGTACTCTAATCAAAGACAATATGTACATAATAAAACAATTATTGTTATTTATCAATTATTACTTACCAAATTCATCTTCTCATTATTATTTTATGTGTATAAATATACACATAAAAAAATTATAGTAGGTATATTTAAGACTCTTTTCAGACATTATTCGCATACACCAAATAAAAAGGTTTAAAGCATTAAAAAGGGTCAGGTACATGGTGGATATAATTAAAAAGGAAAACAGGTAGTTCAAAGATAAGAAGCAAGTCAAGAGAAAGAAAATTTGCCCTTCGTTAGAAAAGATCTTTCTGAATTTAACCATTTAAGCACGGTCTTGTCAGTTATGTACAACTTCAATATTTTCAAAATAACGTTCATATTTCTATGCTATTAAAATACCTCAGTATATTTCTTTTATTTGACCTCGCTACATTCTCGAGATAATTGAAGAGAAATGTAATTCTAATAGGTATTGTTTTTAAAATGTCTAAATCAGAGATATAAAAACTGATCTTTTACCTATATAAAATTATGAAATGATTCCAATACCACTATACTGTGCTGGAACAGTTTCTTTGACAATTCACATTCAAGTAAAATGTATTTAATATTTCAGGAAGTGGTACATGTAGGTACACCGGAATTCTTTTATATGGACTTTTTAATATTTTGACCGAATTCAAAAAAAGAGGATATATTCATTTCGAGTGTGTTTTCTTCATATTTATCTTACATGATATCTCCACCAATTCATAACCTCTACCTCGACGTATAATAACCAATTCAGTAAAATCTCTTTTCACTAAATAGGTTACTCAAGGGTGGTCCTTTATTGAAAAACGATCCACCCTCAAGGGAGAAATTACTTTCAAAGGGATTTTGAGGTAGGTGTATTTTTTTTTGTTCAAAATTAATTATTAAAAATCCGAATTCATATTTCAGGCGGTATCGAATATCGGGACTTAAGCCTGAAAAAGTAACAAACAGATTTACTTTCACATATTTTATAATATTAGTATGGATTATTAGAGTTATTTTCTTTTTTTAACCTAGGAATATTTTATTGTGCCATTAAAGTGTTAAATTAACAAATCTGTTTGTATATAATACGATATTTTGTTTATTTACAATTAATACTGTATTGTTTTAGGAGATTGTTATAGCAGTTACTATATAGGTAATTCAAAACTAAATTGTTTAACTGTTCCTTCAACAATGCAAATTTATATCTCATGGGATAAATCAACATCTCTCGATATGGCCTACACAAATGTTAGTTTAGGTTTATAATACGCCGGAAATACCTCTCCATAATTTTACATTACTCGTAAGTTACGAGACTAAAGAGAAAATATATATAGCACTAGCATTGCCCGCGGCTCCGCCCGCGTTCTGATGACCAAAAACCAAATTCTTAGGTATTAAACTTCTACATATTAGTATACATACTCTTGCAGTTTTTGTATTTTTTCTCAGAAATGAGATATTTTCTCGCGGTAAAAAGTATCCTATATGTTGACCCGGATAACCAGCTATTATCATACCAAATTTCATCAAAATCCCTCCAGTGGTTTTTCTGTGATGCGGTAACAGACAGACAGACACACAGAAATACAAAAATTCTAAAAACTATAGATTCGGCCTCTGTATCGATAATAATGTCTATTTCAATAAGATTTTCCAAAAAAATTTTTAATGTACAGATTCGGCTTAGTTACAATTTTATTATATGTATAGATTATAAGATCGGTTCTAAATATCAATAAATTGTGTTTACATAAATACTCGTATGTATAATAGTACTCGCATTATAATCCCAATTTATAAAATAAAACGTAAAATAATCGTTAATTTATATTCAATTTCAAAACAAAAGATTTTAAAATAAATTTAGATATTTTATTAAAAATAAAAATATCTTACCTTTAATTACATTCATCTTGCTCACACCAATTCACTATTATGGTCACAAAATCATTTTATACGAATAATTTTTATTCCATTTGCATTTCTCGAAATTTACTTTTTACATACTAATAATATATCAGCTTATAGTCATCATTGTGCATTCGAAAAATCTCTTTAAGCCATTCAAAATCACAATCACGTATTATAAATCATTTTAATTTATCACTTATATATAAAGCTTCCGTGTTTGTAAATGTCAAGATTAAAGAGAGAGTGCAATTGAAAACAAGGTTGTAGCGCTAGCGCGGGAAAACGTGTCAAGGTTATGCTCACTACAATACCGACACTGCAACTACCATCTACACTTAAATATCGGAAGATAATTTTAAAAACCTAACACATTACGACTAAATAACGCCACTTGTTATCTAATTAACGCGCAAAATCCTGGCTGCAGCCATCAGCGAACGATCGCGTATTTTAAAAAATTTATGCCGAGCCGACGGCATTTTTAAGGTGATTCATCTTTAAATTTGTGGTATACTTCGTGCGGTGCTGCCTGGAGCGACGCAACATCCCCCTTTCGTGCCGCAAAGAGACTGAAAATGCCGGTAGAGGCCGCCAGATGCAAAATTGGCGCAATTTTAACGCATGCGCAGGACATTGGCAAACCGGCGGGATCCGATGTGACCCGATGCCCCGCGCTTGATGGAAAAATCGAGGACGCAACGTGACGTCAGGCGCTGGTACCGCAAGCAAATACATTGGGGAGGTAATCGTACCAAATAAAAACAACTAATAAAAAAAATTATTTGGGACTGTATTAAGAAATAAGTGATAAAGTGTTCACTGAAATCTAATGTACCTATTATATTGTTCCAGCTTAATCGCTACTTCGAAGGCTTTATAAAAAAACACACATTTCCCTTTCCTTAATCCTAGTGAGGCTGGGGGGTGGTTGGGGGGATGTTTTGAGTATTCGACCATTGTGAGCCTTTTTTGGGCAGTAATTCGCGTTTCTCACGCAAAAATCTCCTTTTTTCTCATAAATGGCACTTGGAGCCGGAAGGTGTCTTTGATATTAAGATTAAAAGGCGGTGAATTGTCAGTCTGTACAATAGAAAGTGTTTCGTGGCATGATTCAATATATCTATTCATTTATATATACCGTAATGATAATGATATCACCATTAATTCCTTCCCTTATTGTGTGTTGGGGATTACATAAGCGTTTTTATTTTTGACGCTGTCAAATATAATATAATTTAAAATGTTGAAAAGAAAATGGAAAGCCTTTTTATGCTATGATTAGTGTTCACTAAATATGATTTTCAGTTTAATTGAACATTAATTAAAGCCAAAGAGAAAAATATATGTGTATTGTGTACAACGATTTTGAATTAGATTATGAACATTGTGCCAGTTATTGTCAACGGCTTCATGCACGTTAAATTTTAAGTGTGTTTAATAACATATTTTGAAATCTACAATTTTAAAAGTACCTACTAGAATTGTAATATTTTAATGTTTCGTCAAACGGGATTTTTCCTGTGAACAGTTTACATATTATTTCAGATTTTCATATTAACATTTATAACTTATCTCAATAAATATGAACACTGTAAATAAAATCCATTGTAAATAAACCTATGGGACAGTTGTCACATAATAAAGGAATGTTTTATGTATAAGTTTCCATCCGTAATCCTTTACAAATCCCTTCGTTATTACGGGATTTAACTAGTGTTTTACATATATAATGACATGTACTTATATTGAATGACAGTTATGCTTTATTTACAGTAAAATATATGTGTTAAAGTTTGTCCTAACTGACACACTTATCATCGACCATAAACGTAAAGATGGCGAAACTAGGGAATACAGGGAAAAATTTTGAACTCTAATTTAAACTAGCTTAAAGATGAGCTCTCAATTTCATACGTATTGCAGACCGTTTTTAAAAACATGCTTCATAATTTTAACAAAATACCTAGTTTCCGGTTAGATACATATATAATATTATAACTTAAATGATGCAATTAAATACATAATATAGGTATCAAAAGTACACCATGAACTTGACAAAACTTTTTTTTGCTTTCTATATAAGTTAATCTTCAACAGTACTCGAAGAATTAGAATTCATTCATAAAGGGAATTGGGTTGGTACCCTAGATTCATTAGATAGGTAGTACATAATATGTAAGTACTTACGAGTATATGGTAGGTAGCTACGTATTATTTTACGTTCAATAGATTTAGGTATATGATATAATAGATACAAATTTTCATTTTAATTTGTGATTTTTTAACCTTATTTAATTCTTATTGTGCTTCCATTGCATTCTCTCCTGATTCCCTTAAAAAATCTCAACAAAAAATACAAAACCTCTAATAATCTATAATTGTAGTGCTTTAATATAGCTTTTTTACGATTTTCACCTATTGCGTGACAGTATCATTGAAATTAGCCTACTTATGTTTTCTATATCAAAATACCTTTACACTTTTACCTCTACTGCGTTATTTTAAAAGTTTATCATTTATTAAGTTCATATTTTATTAAGCGCCTGAAAAATTAAAATTGCAAATAATTTTTATCGTGTTAATATTCATATAATACATAGGCACTGAATCTAAAGTTATCTTAGGTGGCAATTTAAACAGATAGGAAATTGAAATGAAAATATAACTCAGTCATCAATGAAAGAGTAAAATCGTGGACAAAAGCTTATCAATAATTTATTAGCAACCGCTGGCGGTAAATTCATTTAGTTATAACGAAAAAAGAAAAATAGTAGAGGTTAACTGCTCTGAAACATCAAGATTCTGTGGAACATTTAAAAAATGTTCTAAAATTTGAAATAATTTTAAATCTAATCTTAAAATCGCAACAATCTTTGACCTTTACTATTTTTAAATAAGTGTAAGCGCCTGATAAAAAATAAAAGCAGTAGTTCATTTACGTCAAAAAATGGCTACATTAAATAAATAGTAATATATTCTTAACTTTAACTCTAAATTATAACTTACAGGTAAAGATTCTAGGGATAAATCATAAAGTACTAGATTCTACATGACGTGGCATACTTTCCACGATATATTTCCACGATGTTCTTGAAGTAGATGAGATCTCTCATAACTTGGCAGTTGAATTTGCAATAATAAAATTATTAATAATATAGCATATTTTATAAAAATCTAGTTCTTTATTGAATTTAAAAATATTGAAGAAATACCTATTTTTTTGAACAATGAAAAATAAATTATTTTATTGACATTTTTATAATATTATTTTAACATATTTAATATTTAACGAAAATACTCGTAATATAAAGAAATCAAAGATTTCATTAAAGTAATCCAAAATTAGTCAGATAAACTTGAAATTATACCTTAAAGTTTCTGCCCCATTTCATTAGATTTACGAACGTCCTAACACAACCAAGAACCTTTGGGTAACCACAAAACAAAAGTAAAGACAAAGTTGGTAATTTATTTGAAGCAAACACGTATTAGCGTAAAAAGAAATGGTCGGTATTTTTTTACGTTCTCAGATTATATGTACTTACAATTTATTTATTTAATCTGTCGTATCATACTATATATTCAAAAGAAAAACAATCTGTATACATGATATTTAAAAACAAATAAACAACTTTAAAGATATTTTATTGGCTGTACATTTTACGATGAATAAATTATTTGCCTAAGAATATCTATTAATGTTAAAAGTATAGATAAACGTATAGAGCTTCTGCTTATGTACTAATTAAATTAAAAAAAAAATGTTGGGACATTAACACACAACACCATCTAGTTCCATGGTAAGCTACGAGGCTTGTGTTATGGATACCAGATAGTTGATATACTACACATATATACCTTTAAATACATACATCATATAAATATAAACAGTAAACGCCCATGACTGGAGTACAAACATTCATGCTCATCACACAAATGAATGCCCCCAGCGGGACTCGAACCCGCGACCGCTGGCACAGAAAGTAGGGTCACTACAAACTGAGCCAAACGAGTCGTCAAATTAAGTCATTAGTTGGTCTTTCTAGGTAGGTAGAACTTTGTAAATATATTATTTTTTAATGAAACCTACCTGCACTAAAAACTAAATTTCTCTAACAACTAATCCTAATATGAACCTAGAAAATAGTTTCGTCCTTAACTGTATTATAAAATATTTACAAATATCCCTCGCCCTTTGATCGTACGTTTGTTATAATTGATTTATTTATTCAAATTAAGTATAATCAATATTCAATAAAGTATAAGTACCTACTTATTCTCGAAAGATGTAAAATTAAATCTAAATTTTATAAAAAGTTGTGATTTATGGAAACCAATAGTAGTCAGGTTACCATATTGTCATAAATAATGGTCAAAGTCAATATTTTAACAGTGAAAGGCTACATGGCCTGTAGTCAACTCTTCTAGCATTGTATCAATAAATATTGGATTAACTGACAGTTTATATCGTTTCGGTTAGCAGTAATTAAATTTTATAACACTTAAATAAAATCTATTACTTCATAATTCTTCTTCATAATACATAGAATGTATAGTTTAGTGAATATCAAATATATTATAGGCGTAAGAATATCATAATATTTATGTAGGCACGTAGTTCGAGTTCTATTAATTTTATTTACTCAAATTAATTTCATTGTATAATTATTGGTAAATATATCGAATATAACTCTCTCTCTCTCTCTGAATTCGCCCTCGTTACCTATTCTTAATATTATTATTAACTGCCTCGGTAGTGGTAGCCCAGTTATAACACGCTCGAAAACAAATGAAGGCCATCTTGGCCTCTTGGCCGTCGTGATAGACTATAGCCTGAACAAGTGTACAGCTGCAGATCCTGATTTCCTGGGTTCAAGTCCGGAGTCGGAATGAGTTTAGTTATTGAGTCTGTCTATTAAGTATGTCTCAATAACAACGCGGTGTTGGGAAGTTCGCGGTGTTTTACCCTCGTGCTTCTGAGAACATGCCTAAAACTAATCC